TTGTAAGTATATTTATGTTTTTGGACCAAAGGAGGAAACTAAAAGGACAGTCAGTACACAGATTTCAGTAGAAGTCCATTGTTCACCAATCTATACCCAATCCTCTGGTTAGGAAGAGTTTTTCAACGTACATTATTACCGGCACCGATGCAGCAACATAACTCTGCATTTGAATACGTGCCGAGCTTTCTGCAAAATAACGAATATAGAAGAAATTAATATGACTTGAATCATTCTAAAAAACATAAAAGTGCCTGCAGAACAGACATGTTTTTATGGAACACCAAGTCAGATAACAAGTGAATTGGAAACAGGTTTTAATCCTCCAAGCATATTTGCTTGCACACCTTTCAGGAACTTGCGAGATCATGAATTTCATTAACAAGCATTTGAAATGGTCCAAGCACTCACCATCTTCATTTAGGTTTTTTAACAGCTGTGCTTTAGTAGGAAGGGCATACATCCCTGCAGCAACAGCTTTCCTAATTGCCCACCCATGATGGGGAGCAAATACCTGTTCATAAGCCTTCGAAGCAGGGCCCTTCAAAGAATTTCCCCTGACACAGGAATAAAAGGAGCTGTTAGCCATCTTCTCATCCACAAACACAAACCATTAATTCCAGATCAAGCAATCTGTTTAAATTAGCAACTATAATTTGCTTATTCTGATCAAGAAGTTCAATGTGTAATTGTGTATACATTAAGGTGATGAAATGCAGGCATCACCTTCTACACACTGGAGGTTTATTGAGACATGCAACTTATAACTAAACCAATCTACTGCTTCTTAAATCAAGAATTGAACCAGAGGGGGTGTCCGCCCTTTCAGAAAGACCAATACTTGCATCTTAAAGAGGTACATTGACTATTCTCACCTTGGCACAAAATGAGCATAATTGGAGTAGATATACAGCAAATAAATGAACGTTAAATACCCAGTGACCCACAGGTGATTCAGGACAAATGCATTTGGAAAAACTAGCATTTATAGATCACTAAACCTTCAAACAGTAATTAAAAAAAAAACATGTTAGTTTGAACCTAGGTTCAGCAAGAATTAGACTTGTATGGTCTCCAACCTTTGTACCAACAGGAAAAGTAGCTGAAACTTCCTTAGTTTTTCCATAACATACAATTGATCTGGTGACAAAAGATGCATAACAGTTTCATCCTGAAGGCAACAAGAGATGCTATATTCTTTGTAAGATTTCAGTAGTACCCTCCTTGATGGAAGTTCAGTCGATTCAAGACCAAATGCTTGTGGTAAACTCGAACAAAAATTTAAAACTAATCACTCCACACAAGCTAAAGGAAAAATAACAAGAAAAGGAAAATTGACATACAGATATCAGTAAATTAAATTCTTGAAAGTACAGGTTTAAAAAGCCAAGACAAACACATCAAAGCCGACAATTATCAAAACTTATGGAAACGCTACAACCCAAAATGTCAACATTGAGCACAAACCTAATACAACACCTCGCAAGAAATCAAGCATCAAATCAAGTAACTTCTTAACCCCAAGTTTAACCACTGTTATCCTCTAATGGAGACTTAATGATGGCGTTCCTTTATTATGCATTAAAAAACGAAGCGACCCAAAAACCATAACTTCAGCAAGTACTAAAATTTCAGGAAAAATTGTTACGTAAACCCTGTCCATGTAACAACTATTTGAATTTTAGCCAGATGGGCATCTTCCGAAACGAAAGGAAAAGGAGTTAAGAAACACCTACTCTGTAACAAGAATCAGCTCAAACAAGACCTTGACCATAACAAGCCCACGCTTTACTCTCAAAAGATTTCTTGAGTGACTCCCGGATTTTCTCACAGAATTCCCTTCTATATCCTTCTCTAACAAACTATGTAATGTACCAATCGACTTCGATGCCTCTGCAAGATCAAGCACCTGTTCGATTTTATCATAAAAAAAGGGAAGGATCAAACAATTGTAAATGGAGAAAAAAAAAAAACGAGTTGTCGGTAATGAATAAAAATGAAAGATTACCTTGGCAACATAATCCACTTCAGCGAATTTAAAAGCGATCCCTAAGCAACCAAAGAGAGGAGAAACGAGAGAACAAGCATGGGAGAATGGTGCCACTTCAACTTCTTGGGATTGCGAGTTTATTGTAGCTTCTAGCTCTTTAAAGGCTTCTGCGATCTTTCTTAGTGGCTTTGCAGTATCTAAATCGCCCATTTTTTTGAACCCTTTTCGTCAAAATCTAAATCCAAATCTCAATCTCTCTCGATTAATTGATAGGTGAGGTTTGGATTTGTTGAAGATGGTGAGTTGTTTTATTAATTCTGGGCAATGAAGAGCCTTTCAGGGATGGGAGAATAGTAAATTAACATCTATAGAAAACTATTCAGAGATAATCCATTTTGATTCTTATAGTTACGTTTTCTCAATACGAATCCTGTAATTTTGAAACGTTCCAGTCTAATTCCTAGCCGTTAAATAGATAATGGAACTAACATTTCGCTTCTTTGGAGTTATGTTCTAGTCGGCATTCCGCGCATGCGTGTTTCGAAGATTTTTATTTTTTATTTTTTATTTTTAAATTAATTTTTTTATAACGTTTTAATATATTAATATAAAAATAAATCTTAAAAATTAAAAAACCATATTATTTTAATATTTTTTTTAAAAAAAACAATACTTATAGCGATGTTTCTACACTTCCGATTATTTACCCCATTATTTTTACATTTTAAAAGATTTTTTTTAAAAATAATATTTGTTTATTTACTTTAAATTAATTTGTTTATTTTTTTAAATTATTTTAATTTTTAATATATTATTTTAATTTTTAAAAAAAAACAATACTTATAGCGATGTTTCTACACTTCCGATTATTCACCCCATTATTTTTATATTTTAAAATATTTTTTTTAAAAAATAATATTTGTTTATTTTTTTAAATTATTTTAATGATGTATTAATATTAAAAATATTTTTAAAAAATAAAAAAATTATTTTTATATAATATCAAAATAAAAATATTTTAAAAAATAATTATTATTGACCGATATTCTATGGCTGAGGTAAGGCTTACAGGAACACGGATCCACAATTATGATGGATCGTGAACCTTACATGTGGATCCTAGAACCCTCCAATTCTCTACTGGAGCAGGATTGTGGATTTGAGTCCCTAAGTCTAAGGCTCATAATTTTTTAAAATGTGTATAAGATTGTATTTATGATCGTTTTTTATTTTAAAATATATTAATATAATATAATTTTTTATTTTTTAAAAATAACTTTTTATATTAATACATTAAATAATTTAAAAATATAAAAAAATAATCATAGCCTTGACACGAGAACACTCTTGAATAGGAAGAAAACAGATCCCATATACAATGGTCAAATCCACCGGTCTAATCACCATCAATCATGGAGACTTTCACAGCCCATAAAAACCAACACTCAGACAGCTTTTATTTTGGTACGTTTGTTTGGTAAGAGATGTTTAAATGTGATAATAGTTGTTTTTAAAGTATGTTTTATTTAAAAATATATTAAAATAATATATTTTATTTTTAAAATTTTAATTTTAATATTAAAATATCAAAACAACCTAAAAATATTAAAAAATTAAAATTTATCCAACACTATCTACAGAACACCAAACAATAGCTTAGATATTTATCACAAAAGAGCCCAAACTGTAGGCGGCAAAGGCATTGATCACCGACCTCTTACAAGGACATGCACAAGTCTTGAAGCCCTTTGCAAGTGATTGACATTTTCTCTGCGGTCCCTTTCATGAGAAACAAACATGTATCTTTTTAATCTTTGCAAACAAAAGATCTTTTTACACCCAATTCCAGGATCACCAACCGTTCATTCCTTCCACCATCTGGTCCACGTTATGCCACAAGTCGGCAAGTATTCTTCTAGCCTTAAAAAAATTGTATATATAAAGATGCCAGGAAGAAAGAAATTTGATAATTAAAAAAAAAATTACTCCAAAATCACATGATAATTACATAAAAAAAAAACTAAAACAAAAGTACTAGTAAATAAGTCACTGAGGCCAGCTTTGAAAAATTTGAATTAAAGGGTAATAAAGTCATATGAGAAGACTAGGTTAATTAATTTTTTACTTTTAAGTTTAATCAAGTAATTAAACTATTACTTAAAAAAATAAAAAAAAGGACTAAGATGCCCCTAATTATTTTTCATAATAATAAATAAAGGACTAAGATGTCCCTAATTATTTTTCATAATAATAAATAAAAACCATATGAGAAGACCCAATTATTTCTCAATGACAGGTGATTTACATGGTAAATCAAGGAGTCATAACTTTTATGTTTTTAATTGTTCTTTGCGCCATTTCATGTAATCCTGTCATTTATTTATTTTTAAAGCTATATCCAAATATTTGAAACCCTGACCGAGACCATGAGAAATGACCATTTACATTTGAATGGATGGAATTTATCTTCATCCACGAAAAGTTTGATTGAGATTATTAACGAGAGTTGCGCATTTATGAATGATTATAATGTGTGTGCTCAAATTGTTTTATTTATTTATTAAATAAGATTAAATAAGACGGTATTGTTACTTATTATGTTTTCATCAAGTTATGACTAATTATTTTTTTATATTTAAAAAATATTTAAAAAAAGTTAATTTTTTTTATTTTTATTGTAAATTAATATTGTTAATTTTTTTTTATTTTTATTGTAAATTAATATTTTTAAATTATTTTAATATATTGATATCAAAAATAATTTTAAAAAAATAAATATTATTTTAATATATTTCTAAATAATTTTAAAAATAACAACGTAAATCTTGTCGTGGAGTTCTATCATTTACTTTTTAAAAACTCCGCGTACAATGCATCGAGATCCGATTCGTTGTCATGCTATTTGGCGTAATAAGAGATATTTCCCTCAAATGTAAGGTCATGGATTAAGGCACTATGATCGTTGCTCCAGTCACCTTCCAGGAACCTCATTCAAACCAAGAATCAAATCGAAACAATGAAATGCTCTGAATTCTGTCACTTTGCTTTTATTTGGATGGAAACATGACAGCATTGCTGACGAAACCCATATCCAGGAAAAAAAATAAAAAGGCACACAGGCCATTGTCATCAGAGCTAAAAATGGCTGTGTTCAAGTATTGGAACATCGCTAAACATTGTCAGTGGCAGAAAGATCACCCCAATGAACTGAAACTGAATTCTCACAAGCTAAAAATTGGATTCAAGAATCTTGGGATTTGACAATGAAATTCTGCCGAGTGATGGGATTCATCACCACTGGTGGCCCTCCAGTACGAGGCCATGCTTGAAATTTCCTGTCAGTCTCCTCCCACCATTCCTTGTTTGAAACTGTTCTTGGTGTAGTGCCTGCGTTTAAGAAAAAATGTGGCCTTAAAATCATAGCAATAGAAGGTAACTAAAACTACAAGACAACTAAAAGTTTACCTCCAAATATCTTCTTGTCTGAAACAAGATGGTCACAAACATATGCTACTGCAAATGATCCCACGATAGCAGATGCTATGTACGTGGTTGACATGCTCAAACTGCAAAGAAAAGAACTCATTCATATGAGAGGGAAGTATTAGCACCCTAAATGACACCTCACAATCCATTACTCCAGCTATGAGCCTGTGCTTATTTCAAGAAAAAATTCAGCCACTAAAATTCAGGTAATCCACAAACGTGCACTTTTGAAAAAGCATCCATGCTGCCTCCAAGGATGGAAGCAGAAAAGGTCACCGATGGACTACTTAAGATATCCCTAATAAAGGTATCTATGCATAACGTGCCTCCATGGCGATAATAACAGAAAGAGATTGCAAAAACAATGTTAAGGGATTTGAATAGAAGCACAATTTTCAAGTGTAACATTTCTTTTGAGAATTTTCGAGTGAGTTGAAAATTTTATATGTTCGCGTCCTTGATAAATTTTGATATCTTTCGTTTTTTCAGTAAATATTTAATATCCTTGAAAAGAAGTCAGCACAAACAACCCACGAAAAAAAATCTCAGGCTCTGCTGCTGTTTGCTAATAAACAAACTTGGTCCCATAGAACAAAACTGTCCTATCGATGATTTTGTAAACAGAACAAGCAAGTAACTATTTAAAAAAACAGGCATGTATGGCATGACAATTATGTGCTTTCTTCAAAAACTAGACTCATCGGTTTCAGTGCAGAAAGATCTGACAAATAACACAATACAGTAACACATAGTAGCATCAAAGTGAAATATATGCCCATGCAAAATCATATAATGCCAAATGCAGTTCTAACTGTAAAAACCAAAACTACAACTAACCCTATGTCCTTGAAAGTGATATTGACAATCTCATAGATACATGAGAATAACTCATCCTGATGACCAAATCAACAAATAGGCCAAAAATGTCATTGGGGGTAAGACCTACTTTCCTCAGTTCCCATGCATGGTTGTAGACAACCTATCTAAGACTTCAGCATTCTTTGCATGCTTAAGCTTGCAGATTGCCTTCACCTCTAAAAACCATTATGCCTTCCCAAACCCCACAGATAAAAAGAAAAGAAAACGAAAGGGAATCCTCTCTCAAACAAAGGACGGCATGGCAAGAATGTCAAGAAAAAGAAGCAGCTTACAACGGAGCCAAGATGAGGTCAATGTGAAAAGATTGCAACGCTAGTTATGTAACAGCATCCCATGGGTACATGTTATACCAAGAGAACATAGTATATATACATCATATAAAATAACATGATCACTCATAAAAACATAACTAGACAGAAATGATTCCAAGCATATATTAGCTGGTTTTATAATTCCTCATTTTCAATCTAGTTTCTTGACAAAAGACCTAACCAATCCCCTCTATTATCTCCACATCAGAAACAAACCATTACAAACAATCACCTACACAAATGAAAGTATCCTACCATTTCAGGAACTACAAACCCTCTCTTGCAATCGCTTTTATCCCTTACAGCATTAACATAGAATCTTCAAAGCAAAAGAAAAAAAAAAAAAACTAAACTGGAACAGATACATAAATAAGCAAACCTTTTATTTCATAGAAAAAACCAACAAACCCATATCACATATTCTTTTAAATCCTTCTAAACCATTTTTTATTATTATCTTGTCGAGCTAGAATCCAAATCAATAAAAGACCCTCGATCCAGTTGAATTTTTTGAATTTCACACACTAATTCCCTTCCATTTAAGTCCAATCTTCACATAAACTTAACAAATTTCTTCTCCAGCTGATTAAGTACCAAACTGATCCAAATTTTTAAAAGACCCACATCGTCAAAATCTATTTACGAGCTAATACAGCAACGATTACAAGACTTAAACAAAACCCCAATGAACCAAGAATCAAAACGTTGAGACATTACCCCTTTTTTTTATGAATAATGGTTCAAATTCTTCTTTTTTTAATGACCAACAATGGTATTTGTCATTTCAATTGGATTCTACAAATAAGTTGGCATTGTTTAAAAAACCACAAAGAAGTTGGAAGCCTCTCAGCTGGCAATGATTGAACATTAATGGTGAATGATATCGATGAGTGCATCGTTAGACGCTGACAATAAGGAGAGAAACTAGATTGTCTTGAAAAACATTACCCAAGTCACTGATACAGTACCTTTATTTACCAAACAGAGGTTATAATAAAATCAGAGAGATGAAACACACGAGAGAGAGAGAGAGATAGGAACTCACGATGGTGATGGATCTGCCAAAGGCGATTCGGGTCCCCTGCTGCCTGCTTGAAGCTTCTGAGAAAGATTATGCCTGTTCCTTGTTTGTTTGCTTTGTTTATTTTTTATTTGTTTGTGTGTGGGGGGGCGAAGAGGAAGGGTTTTCTTTTTCTTTTTCAGTTTTTTCTGCATGGGCTTAACTTGTCTAGGCCATATTATCAATTTTATTTTTATAATTGGTCTGGGCCGGGCTCTACATCGCAGTTATTTTAGCCCATCTTAGAACTACTGTGTATGTATTTTTTTCTTCTAAACAATTTAAAAAACTTAAAACAGTTTTTTTAAAACAATAAAAAGTGATTTCCTTTTCTTTTTTTTAATATTTATGATATTATGTTACAAACATTACCATCACCATACTGCTATAACTACTATTTTATCAATAATATTATCAAAATAATTATAATTGTTATCATCACAATACCACCACTATTATCATAATTATTATAATTGTTATTTTCATTATTACTTTATTACCACTATCATATATTTTAATATAATCATTACCATATATTATCATTGTACTACACTATCATATTATTATCTTTTATTGTAATTATTATTATTTATTATTAAAAAATAGATATTAATTTGATATCATTATAGACATTATTATTATTGATGGAATGTTATCATATCTTCCAGTAACTACAATGCCGCCACAAAGGTGATTAAAAAAATAATTTTTTATTTTTTATTTTTTAAATTAAAGGGGTATCACTTGTGCTGCAACAAGTACTCGAATTGAAGCCACCCATGCATGGCTGATCTTGTTATTAAATTTATAAGATTAAAAAAAATGATGCTAAAGAGCATTCATACACAATAAATGAAACTAGTAGAAAACATTCCTTCAAAAAACATAAGGAGATAGATAGAGAGCTGATTGTCTCCGGTTCAGGTCGGGCTAGGAGACACTGCAATCCAGGAACAGAGTTTTTGGTATCTCTTACTATGAATACATCGAAGAACAGGTGTGGGTGACTTCGTTCAATAGGCTTCACATCTCAAAATAGCATACATGATCAAGTATAGAATTTACTTGCACATCTATCATCATTCAGCGATGGACATTCAAGATATACCAGTTCCTTAAAAATCCAGGCAGTATCCGAACACTCTTGCAGGACCACTGGACAAGAAGCAAATGGCAGGCACCTTCCTCTTACAGTCACTGCCAAATATATGGAGGTAAAAGAAACGAGAAAGGTAAAGAATGAAAGAATTGAAGGTGACTAAAAGTAACCAACATCAACCAATCTTGTTGGCATCTCGGACTTTGTAAAAATTAATAGAAAATGCGATATATATACGCTGACAAGATATTCTTGCAGATGTATGGCCTTTGAGCTCCGAGCTGATTTATCACTTGATTCTTGACTGTAGACAGAAAACATGCTTCTCTTACTTCTTTACTATCAACAACCAGCAGCTTTTAGAAAGTTATCAAAGGGGCTTGATGCCGGTAGCCTGAAGAAGTTAGGATGATGTTGATACTCTGCCCCACACTGCATTTGAACAGTGCCAACTAGTGGTAAATGTGGGCTTGCAATGATATTTTGTTCAAGGAAAGGATTGGTAACCTGCATAATTTTCATTTAGAAGAGGTTAGGGAATCTCTCAAGCTGATTAGTTCAGCATGCAAACACAATGAAAACTTTTAAGGCTATGCTTCGGAGAAAGTAATGATATTACATGTAGAATAATCATACCATACGCACATGGATGATACGTGCAAAGAAATGCATAGCGAGTATGTCCAGGTTAAAATTTCATGGAGTAAGAAAACACGACCATCCGAACCCAAATCAGCATACAATTAAGATATTACCTTCCTTATTTCATCATCATGGTTCTGGGGGGAGACGTTCATCAAACTCTCCTGTTTCAACTGGACACTCATCACATGAGACATCTTCTGTTGCTTTCCCATCAGAAGGGTTTCGCAATGACGAGCCATTTCCTTATAAGACACATCAGGTGCAGTTACAGACAATCGTCCAACTTGTTGTGTCGTCTCCAAGACCTGCACACATAAAGCACCTCTCTGTAATCATGTTTTTGTATTATTTTTTTCCTTCACCGCATAATTGGAAGATTTCAATGTGTTAGATTGAAGACAAGTCCCAAAACCAAACCATTAGGGCCATGCAAGCAAGGCCTCAAGAGAAGAGTAGACTGGATACTATAAATAACTTGAAACGAGAAACCAATCCGCATTAAAAATTTTAAGTTACAGCACCAACAAAAGCCTTAGTCAAACTTCTAAAAGCAAATAGCACTTAAGAGAGCATGGTATAGGCAACATACTGATTCTAGAAGTTGATTGACGCTCAATAGGTCAGTGTCTTGGAAGACAATTTCTGTGGCCTTAGTGGTTTGATCTTCCAATGAATCTAGAAAAACATCATCTAATGTAAAAAGTGGAGTGCCCTGCAAAAACAAAAAATAAGATGATGAGAGTACCAAGAACTCTCTCTGAGAATGCAAGTCCCAAGTATTAATAAAAGAGAAAATAGTGAAAGGCATTTACCTCCATTAGAGAGTTATCTTCGGAATCAACCTGATCTATTTGCATTGGAGTATCCATAAACAGCTGGGCTCCCAAAGGACACACATCATCCGGTAAGAATTCGTTGAGGAGTTTCTCCTGTATAGTGGATGCTTCAAACTGTAGAGAACAAGTCACTGTTTAATGCAGTGCTATCAGAGTGATACCATCTAGAGTAAAATCATCAAATGACAGGACCAAAATACTGAAACAATTCTGATAAATGTTATACCTTTGCCAAATTTCCCAAGCTCTTAGCAATCTCAGCAGCAAAGAATTCCCTGCTTTGGTTCCCAGTAACATCTATCTCTGAAAGGGATTTTAAAGCTGAGCTATCATCGTCCTTAGATCCATAAACAATTGCAGGGTGGCCAGATTCAGTACTAACAGCCTGTAACTTGCGATCTTCAACTAAGTGCAAAAACGGATCGATCTGGTACAAGCATCAAACCCCATAAAAAACATAAGATTAATGGTTATATATCACAAAGCTCGTGAAAGTAACCAGAAAAGGTCATTTGCTTGATATATAGCTATCTATCACAAGCATCAAACCCCATAAAAAAATATGAAGTTTATGGTTATATGTCACAAATAACATGAAAGTAACCAGAAACAATCATTTGCATGTAACAGTAGAAAGCATAATCCCCACATAATATAGAACCTTCAACAAGCTAGTGAACACATGTTTACAATTGTAAACCAATGCAAGTACAACTTAATTAGCAATGATACACTTACCATTTTTTCTGTCAGCACCACCTTGGTACAATAAATAAGCGGAATAATATTGTACACTTTCGATGTAAAAAGAATCATTGAAGTTGCCAAGGCAAAGAGGGATCTGCGACGTGATGGTGGGAGTGGCTCTGCAATAACAGCAAGATTATGGCTTCAATTAAAGACGTGATATCCAAATGCAAAATTTTAACATGTTTGTTCCCTGCTTGACATGCTTATTAGCTTGAAAGTAGTTGGAAAAGAGCAAGATAAACTAAATAAGGTTGAATTTAATTGTATCCCAACCACTTATTCAAAGGAGCTGTGATATAAATAATTGACAACTAAAGATGCAGCACAGCTCTGCAATAACAGCGAGATTATGGCTTCAATTAAAGAGATGATATCCAAATGCAAAATTTTAACATGTTCATTCCCTGCTTGACATGCTTATTAGCATGAAAGTAGTTGGAAAATAGCAAGATAAACTAAATGAGGTTGAATTAATTGTACCCCAACCACTTATTCAAAGGAAGCACTTATTCAAAGGAGCTGTGATCTAAATGCTTTACAACTCAAGATGCAGCACATACTTATCAGCAATACATAATAGGACTCAATATTCAATCTGTATGTGCTAGTAAAATTCATCCCCGCCTAACCTTCCACCCTATTGTATTCAGTAATCAAATTTGAAAGTTAGAGCACAACTCAATTTAGCTTTCCATTATATGGAAGTAATAAAGAGGTTAAAGATTTTCTTGGATGACCTACCAAACGGATTTATTAAAATTTTGGTAAAGTAATTCAGATCAAGCAGCCACATTTTGTGAAAGCATCATCCATGCTCCTAAGAACCCATCAACCTTTCTTGTGCTTAGCTAGCCATAATTATTGTCACTAATACCACTCATCATTAAAAATATTCAACTATTGTAATGAATGACTCTAATTGGTATTGGCTCCTTTATGAAAAAATGAAAATAGTATATATAACCCAATTTGTGAATGAGCTAATACTACAAAAACTATAAATCCTTTACCAAGTCATACATCTCAACCACAAGCCTCATATTATCTAGGACAAATTCAGTTTTAAATTCAAAAGTTTAATCTAAGTTTCCTCTACTTATTTTCACTTCATGTATGCAACTTTGTCAAACATGAATATACATAATACGCAAAGCAAGCCATCTTCTAGTTTTGATAGAAAACTCAGCCCTGGTTCATTTACAAGAAACAACTTTCCATGCAGTAATAACTTTGAGATCTTACCTTCTTGCTTAAGAGCAATGTTTCTCAAAGAAAATGCAAGCTGAAAACTTCTAATCAAAGCCTCGTCACTGGAATTCTGTGAAAGAAGATAAAATGTAATAGAACTCATAAACTAACCAGAAAAAATAGGAGGGGGGAAAGGACAAGATAGAGCATTTGTAGAGATAGCCAACAGAGATATTCTGCGCAGCCATTCAGGATCAATGAGACATAATTGGTAAATAGATTTGCATCACTTAACTTCTCACAGAGCCTATAAATGATTAAAGTTTGTGGATGTTGTATCTTCTAAACTAAAGTTCAAGAAGAAATTGTGGTGCAGTTGTGATTAGAGTTTCATTGCAAGGTGGATAAAATACTCTAGGAATTTTTTCAGATGCAGTTAGAGAAATGACAAGCTTAAACATTGATGACAGACACAAAAGGAGATAGCAAAATAGATTAGCTATAGGTCGAAACTGTTATCACCACCAGTGCCTTATAAAGAGCTACTGTCAATTACATTAACTGAGAAATTACCTTGGCTCGAGAGAACAACAACACCAGGCTATATGTATGAGAAATTGCTTCATAGTTTTGAGGTGTATTTGCAGGAGAAATGGACTGTGTCCAAATTGATGAAAGCAAAAGAGTGATCTGGCGGCTACTCAGCCTTAGAGAACCAGCCTCCTGAGGTTCAACGAATGCAGAAGATTCAGATACAATGATAGACTAAATTAAGACAATTTTTAATAACCAATTGAAGAGTTCATTACTTTTGGTATTCAAGCTATTGATTATATATAAACTACAGGCTGCAATTTCCTGCTTCGGAAAGCCACTTTTTGTATCAGTCATAATATACATGTCTAAAGCTAAGGCCCACTTTTTTGTGAAAGATGAATCTAAAGATTATGTCCATGCATGTCCAGAATACAGTATTATGTTGAATTGACCCATATTCCTTAGGGTAACATTTTAAGCATCTCCAGCAGACTCTTACACTCCTTTCTTGATACTGTATTGATGTCTCAGATGAATATATTAGCATATTTTAGAAGAAAAATGCAACTGGAAACTCTTCTGCACGAGCAGTAAGGATCACGCAGAATTCTTTGTGCATAGTTAGGATCTCAATTAGAGGATCAGACTACAGTGGTTACCTAAGGAAGAGAATTATAACAGATGCAATCCCACTGAAGTTAAGCGAGTACTAACAAAATTTAACCCAGATGGACAACTACAATTTAGATGATAAGAAGTTGACATTGCCAGAACTTACGGTTTCCTTATTTAAGTTGCTTACAAGATTCTCATCTGATGTTGAAGGTACAAGAGGATTTTTCAAGCTGTATACTTGACTGGTAGATGACTTCAATCTAGCAAGCATCCCATTACTGATTTGTTCACCTTCATGAGCATAATTTTTGCTGTCTTGAAAGACATTTTCCCTGGTGGAAGTTTTATCCCTCCGTAGCTTGTCAAAAAGGGCAGCTGAAGAAGAAAAGACAGAGACAGTTCTTGAGAGAGTCCGCGAAAGATCAGAGCCTTTATTATTTGAGGATGGACAAGGTGAAACTGAAGATGGCACGAGAACAACAGAAAAGATGCAATGAGCTCCAATTCTTGTTTCATGGTCAGGATGGACCATTGCTGGAAGTAACTGATGAAATAGAGCTTCAGGGAATGCCTGCAAGAAATAATAAAAGTAAAGTAGATAAATAAAGGGATGAAGGTAGTCAACAATCATAAAATTGAAAAAGACCACAAGTTTGGCTTTGCCTTGTTTTGATATGATAAATTTGGTAATGAGGCAACAATTTGAGCAGTACGATAAACAGCAGAAATAGTAGTTCTGGCTATAACAGTAATATTTGAGATGTTCTCCAGCATCACAGCCATAATGTCAAGGATAGGGGCAGCATCTCCAACCTGTTCACCAATAGCAACCAGTTTTTTATCTCTTTGAAAATCCTGAAGTAATTGATCATAATATATAAAACATTTACAGCACACATAAAATGAAATTGGATTACTTAAAATGGGAACACTATTTTAAAACCCAAAGAAGCATCGCTTTATGTAAGAGTTAATGGAGATGAGTGCCACCTTATATGCTAACTCAGTAAGGCATTTATCCACCACTTCTCTCAAGTTTTTGTTCCAATTTTTTATTTCAGCACCCAGATTTGCATCATCAAGTGAGCAGTGTATGCTTTTCCGCAAATGACGCATGACATCACTTACAGCGCCAATTATTGCCACAGAAGGGTCGGCCTTCACATGCTGAGCAAGGGCAGTGGTAACCTCAACAATATCAAGCTGCATGCTGGGTTCTTTAAGGACATTTTTGTGATCGAGATGCTTAATCAATATGGAAAGCAAAACATGTGTATTTTGCCCTATAACATGTTAAAATTAAAGAGCACAATCAGTCTCCCATCAAACCACAATTAAAATTGGAAGAGCACAAAAATAGCACGCTTCATGAAATTAAAAGACAGGGAATAAAATAATAATTTAGGAATACCAATTGAAGAGGTAAAAGAATTGCTTATATACCAGAATTATGCATTAAAAACTGCATATCCTTTAAAACTGGGAAGGCAAGACCATTTTCAAGAGACCATAAATTTCCATTATCGAAGTATCGGAACAAAGATTCAAGAACACGCCGAATTGTTGTAGCCTCCTTCCCTAACTTGGCCATGTTATGCAAGCAAACCCTGGACCAAAAGCAGGGGTTCTGGGAGTCTTCTCTGCCAAACCAGAAGAATGATAAATATCTAATAGTCGATGATTGAAATACAATAAACTATGTCTTCACCAATAAAATCTTGTGCCAAGAGATTACTCTGTCATATTTACTTCGCCTCTCTCATTAACAATTGTCCTCCAAGAAGGAACCCTTGTAGTGACCTCTGGCAAAGGAGTGACATGCCCCTCATTTTTCAGCACTTCTTGCACCCACCGACTCTGAGGACCTTGCTTGTCAGTATCTAGGTTCTCTGAACTCCTCATAGGACCACCATAATTTTCCAAGACTACTGAAACTACCTGTTTGATTATATAGAAAGTATTTTAGAAAAAAAAAGGTAAACAACTATTTATCTTTGTACTAAAAAAATGAATGATTGATTGAATGAGCTGAAATGTAGGTCATATTCTTTAAATAGTGGTAAGAAAAAAGGAAAGATAAAGCATGCAGATTAATGAGATTTTGTTAAGACGCTCTACTGCAGAGACTGCCTTGAATAGCTTCCACGGTAAACTGTGTCCGCATGAATGTACATTGCATAAATGGTAAAAATCTTGTTCTTCTAGGAACAAGCATGCATGTTCATGTCTTCTTGAGGGCAGTCACTTGAAGCAAAGATGTTGAGTGCAGATCTGTCTGGTGAAATAGGAAAGTTCATGCATGGATTTGAACTGCCTCAGTTAGCACATGTCTTTTTTATTTTTTAATTTCTTTTGTGCATATATGTCCATGTATAAGACTTATCTAATGAGCAAAATATTGGTCAAATAAGCAAAGCAATGGCCGACAGACTAAATGACTTGGTCAAATTATGGGCAGGTTGCAAAATACATTTGGATATGATTGATTATTTTTCAATTCTCAGGTAGAAATATGGAGAGGATGATAAGAAGTATCAAAATTTGTCATGTACAGGTAAACTTGCAATGTGATCCAAGATGGTCCGAAAATCTGCTTACATTGTCAAACTCCACTGAAATATGAGAATGTTGACTCATAAACCAAACCTACAAATACAGAAGGGAAAAAAAAAGAACCATTGGAATAAGAATGATTGAAATGAAAAGTACTAATACTAGAGAGTTTCTATTTATATGGAAAGCCAAAAAAAAAAAAATCATTTCCCTTGGATCATTGGCACTTGTTTGCAGAACAATTTGGAGCAAGAAAGACTTACAAAGCAGTCAGGCAAGATGCATTTAGAAGTAATCACATTTGCTGGCTACAGTAAGATTCAAGATAGGTCTATTTGTTTTATTCCCATTGTTAACCACCGACTTCAGAAGAACCATAGTTCCAGATTTTGAAGAAATATGAAAAATGGAGGAAATGGGTACCACTGAAGAAAGGGCTTGCAGCCCGGCTGCCCGTAGACTTTTTGCCCTTTCATCCTCTCCCTCTTCTTGAGCAAACTGACAGAGTTTTGGAATAAATCCTTCTAAGTTAAACATGTAAGTTCCATCCTTCTGCAAAATTCAGCTATGAGAGACAGTTTGAAGGTTCCTCTCTGCAGAAACCTGGAAGCTCAACAACAAATTACCCCCGACGATGATGTTGAGTTACTAAGTAACAACCAATAGCACATACCTGATTATTTACAAAGTCAAACAGAGTCTCGCATCCTATAACTTGGATGTCATCCTGCCGTGTTTGATCCAATAGAGTATTAATGATGCCCAGTAAGCTACTTGCAAACAAAGTCCTGTGAAATGATCCCCAATCATAAATACACCACATACAGGAGATGAGAGCAAAGAAAGCAAATACAGATGCTACGCTATTTACTCGAGGTGGAGGGGATGAAAAAGCAAGTGGAGAGAAATGAAAACTGGCCTAGTTCTTCAGCATACAAGTATGGTTAAAAATACTTGGATTCTCAATAGGGAATGATGTCCCTTGTTTCTACAAGTGTGATTTAAGAAAACTTAAATGGGTATTATTGGTGGTGTATATAGTACAAAAGAAAGTATGAAAGAGACCATAATCTAACACTATAAACAATGGGAAAAACAATGAGATGTTAAAAATGCAAATATTGCACAACCCACAAAAGAAATCATCACGAAAGAATAAACTCACATGTGCTCCTTGCAGGTGACCAGCAATTTCCTGTAAATGCACATCACAATTTTTGCAGATTGAAAGTTCTCTATTCTCAGTTCCTTGTAACACCTTTGCTCAAGAGAGCATGTGATCTGATTACCAAATTTGCAGCTAATCACATAACAATCATAATGCACGTGGGGGGGTGGGGGTGAAGAGAATCAATATGATTTTTCAACCAGTAAAATAGTCTAACTTGAACAGCATCCAAAACCCAATCTCGTTCCAGCAAAAGAAAAAGGGAATGGAGGTGAAAGAGGTTAAATAAGGCCAAAAATTTTCCTATCTAATTAATCTGGGCGTACTTCAAGTGTGCTGATAGGAAATACAATCATTTATGTGTGTATAGCATGTTTTATATCTCTTGACAAATAATAATTTAATCAAACTAACAAAAAGGGGCAAGAAGACACACAAACTCTCACAAATATTAGTTCCATAATAAACAAACAAAAGAAACCTGGCTGATATATGTTTTCTGACTTCTTGATTTCCCAGAGAAATAACACTTGGACAACAATTTTAGCAGATATTATTTCCAAAAGGTTTTTTCGACCATACAGAGAGAATAAAGGCTAATATCAGGCAAATTTCACCCTATTTCATTCAAGAATTAAATATATACATGACATATTGGAACTTTCCAAAATATCAGACCTGCATCACACAACTATTGCGTTAATTTGAGGTTTTATATGAAACAAACTATACCTTTGGGATACGGAGAGGATTTTTAGCAGCATATTCACACAGTTTTCCAATCTTCCGGTCATTTGGTCCTTCCTCCTGTTGTTAAATATTCCATTAACACAAGATTTCAATAATGAACTGGACATCAAATCACTTCACCGTTGAACAGAATGAAAATTTTCAGAAGCATTATGTGTGCTTGATTAAACCATATTTTCAGAGAGGAGTCCGAAACCCTAGTGGCTTAAAATTCATCATTTTCATGCAGGAATAGCTTGATAGGGAAGTAAACCAGAAACAAAAAAAAGACAGCTACATAATCTCATTTGCAATATAATAGAAAGAAAAGAAAAAACAGATGGTGTGGAATCGAAAAATTCAAAAATAGAACAAAAGAATGACATAAGACCAAAAACAGAGAACAAGGTTTTCTAAAACGGACTTATGGTGGCAAGGAGAAAAACAGGAAACTGAGTCTTAAATGGTAACTTAGAAGCTATTTAGGGATTCAATAGCGTCCCAAGTCACAAAATTGCTCCAGGATCAATCGGAACAAGATCTTAATGAAATTTTCTTTGTTAATGCACAATGATGGCACTTGTTTCTAATACCTAAAGAGAACACAGACCATCTAGGAGTTGAAAGGTAAAACCTCACTCTCATATTCCAAGTTTTTGTACAACCTATTTCTATGTTAAGATTTATCAAGCAATGATACATCATTTGCAACGCCGGTGACATAATACAAGGTCATTGTTCATCTTTGATACACTGTCTGTTTTTCATTACATAAGACCATGTGCTGGCAGTTGCAACATTGACATCATATGTTTTCAGTCAGTAAGTACATTATAACTACCTCAAGATGAACATATTCTGTCACTGGCAAAGAAAATCAGCTAAAAGAGGGGAAAAAAATGTGTAATCCAAATTGGATTGCCACATTATAAAGTATGAACTAGCTTATTTTCATGAAATCGCTTTCCTTTAAACCCGCCTTCACATAAATTAACCAACAAATGCAGAAACAAGAAATTATTAACTTCTTGTTATGCATACCAAATGTGGAAAAAAAAAATGTTAAAAGATAGGAATTTAAGGAGTGCTAACCTGGTTTCGAGGAAAAATATCTGCAATGAGCTTCTTATACCTCTTGACAGGCTGTCTGGACCTTGCCCTCATTGCAGGGCAAAAGAAACAAAGGCTACCACATGCAGGCATTACTTGCCTTGAAACTAAACCCGAAATCGCGCTCATTTTGGATTCCAAATATATTTCCCTCAATTTTTTTTGCTTTCTTTCCCCTCTAAACCGAACAGAAACTCAAGATTTCGGCAACAAGAAGGGAAAGAAAGACTCAAAACTCAACTGGGTACCTTCAAATTCAATGGCAAGCCTGTGTCGAAAAATTACAAATTTTACAAAAGGGATTCTTAAAGGGGAAAAAAACACTCAAAACTTCACCATACAGAACAATTTCGGTCAAGACAATGTGGACTTCAGATTCAAGAAAAGGCGTTATGGGGACAGGAAAATTGAATCAAAATCATCGAACTAATCACAAAATTGTGAATAAGTATCAGAATTCTTAAAGATAAATATAACTAACAAAAGGGGTTATCATAAATGAAAATTAAAAAAAAATCAATAACCAAACCATGAAAATACGATATATTTTACCCCGAATCAAAGCCAGGAAACAGCTGACCAGAGGCTGGAAATCTCTCTAAACCATGTAAAAAAGGCACCGATTTTCCAGCATTGTCCAGACCACTCGATTTAATGCCTGTCCTATACCCCACCTCCGTCTCTTTCTCTCTCTAAAACCTGTACTAACTACAAAGGGAAAAAAAAATTGCATCATGAGCAGGCGCCATGTCAAATTAAAATTAAAAAATGATTGGAAAGTTCCCCACCTTCAAAAAATGGAATTACATGCGGACCCCATCGCATGACCTGAAATAGAATTATACCAACAGATAAGAGTAAATTATAACTTAGTCGTTAAACTTTTATAAACTACAAAGCTAATCCGTATAGCTCAGGAAATTATATGTTAACCCCATGATCAACGTTCACCTACAGTCTATTTCTACTCCATGTGGACAGTAAATGGTCCACCTTATTTTTATTTTATCTTGTCTCTGAATGTCTATAATCATGTAATTACAAGCAAGGATCAAATTATAGAGCTTATAAAAACTTAAAGAGAGCTCGTTGATACTTGGAGAACATAGCTGCAAGGATATTTATATTGTTTACTGAAATGAAACGGTATAATGGTGGTTTTTTGTTTCTTCTGGCTTTCAAGGATTTTAAAATATTTTTACAGATTCATTTGTTATTTTTTAAATTAATTAAGAATAAATATTTTTTTTTTCATATTAAATGTACAGTGAAATGATCAAAATATTATTAAAAATAAAAAAAATCAACATGGTGTGGAGGGGTCTTTTTATATTTTCACATTGATTTTTTTATTATTATAATTTAAGATAAAGGTCAATTTGATATTTACTCAAATATAAAAAATAATAAACTATTAAAATATACAATAAAAAAATAAAAATACCTTTAAAGTAAAAAAATTTAAGTTGTAAGGGTCCTTGGACATTTTTGTTTTTTGTTACTATGGTTTTTTTTTATAATTATAAAATTAATTTCAAAAATAAAAATACCTTTGAAGTAAAAAAATTTAAGTTGTAAGGGTCTTGGACATTTTTGTTTTTTGTTACCATGGTTTTTTTTATAATTATAAAATTAATTTCAAAATAAAAAGGTGGATGCACATGTATGGCATCCAAAGACACGAGGCGGTCATGCCTTTTTAACAATTTATGTGGTATTTTTTAATATTTAAAAATATTTTTTTATTATGTTGTTGGAAGATTTAACATGGTTTTTTTATTAGTACAACGTATGTTATTGGTAATGGTTCAATTTGAAGTTGATAAGCTTTTCTGTTTGTTTTTTTCTTCTCTCTCTTCTCCTCCAAAAATTACAGTTTAACTTTCTTGATTGTTGGTATTTCAATCACAATTTTTATTTTTATTTTTATTTTTGGTCTTGATTTTTTTATAGAAATTTTATTTGTTTTTAATTTAATCCTTCGATCCTAATTTATCAAATATTATATTTTCCAATGTGGTCCTTATTCTTTGAATTTCTAATTTTTTTGACTCTTTTGTAAAGATTTTATTGATTTTTAATTTCATTCTTCAATTCAAATGGATGATATTATGTTTTTCAATTCAATTCTCATGTCTTGATTTTTATTTTTTTTCCTTGGAATATTTTTAAAAATTATTATTTTTTTCAATTTCACCCTCTAATCATAATATTTTTTATTTTTATATCAATTTTGATCCTCATTATTTTAAAATTACTTTCATCCTTTTTAAAATTTGATTTTTTTTCAATTCTATCCTTAAATTAAATATAAAATTAATTTTTTATTTTAACTTTGATTTTTGTTATTTTAATTGCCATTTTTCAATCCTTTTATATAATTAAATATATTTTTTTCAATTTTATCTTTCAATGGTTTTTTTATATTGAATGTTTAAAATTTAATAACTTGATTTACGGGTTTGAAAAGTTAGTGCAAGTTGTTTTTTTATAAAAAAAACTTTATAATTTTTATTTGTATTTTGTAGGGTTATTTTAATCATACAATCTAAGTTGCAAGTTTGATGAGATATTTTGAATTAGCTTAGTTCTAATTATCATGGTTAAAAATTTATTTTAACTAATTTTTATGTTATTTTTTTGTTTAATTTCAACACCTTATTTCTTATAAAAAAAAGTAATAATTCAACCCATGCTAAAACACGAGCACCGAAGCTAATAATATCTAATTGTAAAATTATCACATGAGTAGAATCTTTTGTACAGAAGCAACACTTGTAGAAGTTGAGTGGGTGCACCTTTCGTCTATCTTTCATGGTTTGCTTAAAGCAAATGTTCATTATTGAAATAAAAACACCCTTTCCTAGTTTGAGAAAAATATATTTATAGTTTTAAAATGTAAGTCAAGAATAAATTTAGAATAATATCTAAGTTACCAGTTTAAAAAGTTAATTTGAATTACTTTAAATTTTTTTTTTAAAAATCAATAAATTTTTAAAAGTAATTGTTATAATTGTTAAAAAAACCTCAATTATATATGTACGAGGATTTTTTCATGCTATCATTAACCTTAAAAATACATTGGTCTTGACATTCTTTTATTAAGATTTAACCGTATCACTTATTTATTTTAACCAACACAATATTTATAACTAAAATTATTATTTTCATTAAAAAATAGTTTATAATTATTAAAGCAAATTAATAAAAAATATATCACATTGTTTTAATAAAATTGATTCCTCTAGCACAGTAAAGGGTTTCTTTAATTTAAGAAGCAAGATAAGGCTGTGAGAGGTCAAATACTTTGAGTCCCTCTAATTCTAAACACGAACCTAACTCATCTTTAGTTTACGAATTCTTCAGCATGGAAGATAAAGGTGTTCATTGATCTATTACATCCAGTCCACCTAAATACCAACTTAAAGGTATGGTTCCACATGTTATGAACTTTAAATTCGAAAATTAATAAATGTGCTTGGTTTAAAGGACAACTTCCGTTTTTTGATGCATGTATTGTTTCACTTTCAAATTCAAAAATCATGAACTATTTTCACTTAAGTAATATTTAAACCGAATTTTTTGAAAAATAAATCGCATTTTTCTTTGGTTTTTTAGATTTAAATATTAGGATGAACACACAGAAATTTATTAAATTTCATTGAGGGTATCAAAACATTTGCAATGCACTAATGAGAAGGGATCAAATCTTCTTGGACAAGAGACATGACACCTCATCCATGGACTGGTTCTTAACGAACACAGCAGATTTTTCCAGTTCAAGGGTAAAAGCAAGCTGCGCTAAGGCGATGGCTAGGGGCTTCAATTATAGACAGCAACAATACAGACTTTTATATTTTTCCAGTTCTAGGGTAAAAGCAAGCTACGCTAAGGTGATGGCTTGAATTATAGACAGCAACAATACAGACTTTTCCCAGAGTCGTAGCAAGCAACATAATTATCTCAATCTAAAATCGACGATCAGATCGTGTTGTCATCAAGTCCGAGATCAGCACCGGCCTTCCTCGTTCAAGAACAAAGGGTGACGTGGTAATGGAGAACGAAACAACCACCACCTTAAACACAATGATTCAGTGTTCAGAACTGCTAGGTTGGGGAGCAGCACATCATCAAATAATGATGCAAGCAAGTATTAAAACATGCATAATATTGCAAATCCATCCAAAATAACATTTAAAAAATCCGAATCAAAACTTGGAAAGGAATCCAAAACAAACATGGCTATCCTCGGCGAATACAATAATCATCTTTTGACTACAGCCTATACTAAGGAAAAACATTGTCTTGTAATAATCTTCCATGGTATCCCAGGCAGCATGAGAATCAATCTTCATGAACATCAGTGATGAGAACCTTGCTAGTGGGTTTTGCCAACAGATCTGTGTACTCTTGGAATGGTGACCTTATGAAGCGAGTCTCCTTCCAGAAGTCAGGGGTAAGGAACCCATAAGTCTTCAGCAAGCAGTCAAATGTGGCCTGCAGATGAACAAACGATTCAGACATCCGCAATGATACGCATCATTAATTTTTACATCTTAACACTCAACACCTCAGTCGCACAAGAAGAACAAGCAATTAAGTAGTGAAGTAGAGATCTTACATCAATGCTTAATAGATGGAAGCCAAAGTTCTAACATCATTAAACAGAAGTGGAAAAACAAGCGGGTAAGTAAACATTACTTGCTTACAATGGCAACTCAGCAGCAAACAAAAGATAAAGACACAAGGGATCAACTAGAAACTGACACGACAGTACTGAATAGCAAACCAAGGCAACACAAACTAGACGGATATCCTCAACATACATGAATTTACTTTCAACTTCAGTAGAGTTGTCTTAATCATCTCCTACTAATTATAAACTGTTTTACCACAAATATAGAAAAAAGGAATCAAAAGAGAGGATTTACAACGGCTTAATTGTGTGCGAAAAGGAGTTTTAAACAAGAAAATCACTAACAATCAGTGCAAATTACATTTACTTCCATTTCGAATCCCAGAAAAGCACCATTCAGTAATGAGAAACATGACAACATAAAAATCGGATCAAAATCCATAACCAACATTTCGTGATAAGGAATGCCTCAACTTTCTCAAACAAACAAATCAATCCGCCAGTCTCGTAAGTAAAAAAAGACATGTACGTAGGCAAAGCAAAATAAATTCATCAAGAAGAACATCTCCAGATCAATTCATAACCAAAGATTTAACAAACTATACATTGCACCCCATCACAACAATATATCACTTCAGAGTTCAGAAAATAAAAGCAACCACAAGCACACAACAAAATAAACATGTCGAAACCGAACCTTAACAAAGTTTCCAAGAGTCTTCGTAGATCCTCTGGAAGATGTAAAAACATCATCAATTCCAGCAAACTGAAGCACCTTCTTAGGAACCCTGGCAGCAACAATCCCAGCTCCACGAGGGGCAGGGACCATTCTCACAGTCACACTGCCACACTTCCCTGTAACCTTACAAGGCACAGTATGTGGCTTTCCGATCTTGTTTCCCCAGTACCCTCTCCTCACCGGAATAATGGAGAGTTTTGCCAAAATAATAGCCCCACGAATGGCAGTGGCCACTTCTTTAGCACACTTCACACCCAAACCAACATGTCCATTCCCATCACCAACAACAACAAAGGCCTTGAACCTGGTTCGCTGACCAGCTCTTGTTTGTTTCTGAACTGGGGTGATTTTCATCACCTCATCTTTCAAGATAGGACCAATAAGGGTGTCTTTCAGCAGGGGCGCGCTCTTCCATGGCTGCTGGTTTTGTTGCAATGTGAGAGATTAGGGTTTTGAGAGAGAGAGGCGCAGATGTAAAAGGAGTGTTGAATAGGAGGGATTTATAAGAGGAGGGGAGAGCTAGGGTTCGTGTGGGGGTTAAGGTTTGAAGTAGTAGCTAGAGATTTTCATTTTGATCACTTTGGTACCTTTACTTTATATGTGCTTAATTAAATCTCTAACCTTATAAACTCTCAAATTGTTGGTTTTAATTAAAAACATTATATAAAATATAATTTTCAATTATTATAATTAATACAAATTATTTTTCATTGAAACTTTGATCTCAAGCTGCTCTGAATCAATGAAATTTATTAAAAATAAAATTTATATACACATGTTTTTATCAAACCGTTCACTTACATTATATTATTATATTATGAATTAATTTAAATACTTTCTTTGTGTACTTTTATATATATCCAACATCAAATTGAATTAAACAGGTAAAATTGCAATTAAATTTAACATCAAATTGAATCCAATTCAATTGCAATTAAAATTTATATACACATGTTTTCAAAGAATGCTTTTATCAATCAGGTGACCTGAACTTTGGTGTTGTTCAATTTAACCCCTAAGTCACAAACTAAGAGGCCATTGCCCATCAGTAGTCTGAGACTACTGGCGTGAGAGCCTACAAGCAGCCAGACATGGATTTGGACCAAATCAATTAAATCCCGGGTCCTCTCACAGCTACTCTTTGGGCTTATCTTGGGCCTATAATAGGTAAAAAAAGGCTTCTGAATTGTCTCAAGATGTGGGAGTTTGCTTTTCAAAAGTATTTTAAAAAAATTTAAATATCTTGGGCCTATAATAGGTTAAAAAAGGCTTCTGAATTGTCTCGGGAGTTTGCTTTTGAAAAGTATTTTAAAAAAAATTTAAAAGTTTTTATTTTAAATTAATATATTTTTATTTTTTAAAATTATTTTAATTTTCTAATTTAAAAAATAATTTTTAAAAAATAAAAAATATTATTAACATATTTTTTTAAATAAAAAATATTTTAAAAAATAATTATAATTATACTTTCAAGCACATTATCAACAACATAAGAAAGCTCATTCAAGTCCAGCGGATGTTATTAATTTTTTTTTTAAAAAAAGAATTCAATGTAATTAACATGATTAAAAGGCAAGAAGAAAAAAAACACAAGAACAGTATAAGATTTGTACTATCAAAATGTTAATTAATAATTGAACAGCTCAATCTTCTATCCAAATAAAAACATACAACGTTGTACAAGAAGTAATTGGAATTACTTTTTTCATGTTAATGGATAACTTCGAACAAGTGAGTTCCTCTTCGAGAAATTGACACAAAACTCAAATCCTCACTTGCTTTACAACAAAAAATATGGGTCGCACGATCACTAAGTGCCTATTTGTAATTGTTACTGCAGTAATAGCATAACCAAATACTAAATTATAATATTTGGTTAATATTAATTACATTTTTTTTACATGTATTCCATTTAAAAACTGTGGTCAAATCTCATTTTATGAGAAGAATTTTTATTTGTTTCTTTTTTTTTTGAGTGGAGAGTAATTTTACTATTCATTTGAATAATAAAAAAAGTAGAGAAATTTTACTATTCATTTGAATAATAAAAAATATCTCTATTATTTTGATTGAATTGGTATGCTCCAAAACTAAGTATATTGAATCAAATCAAAACTAGTAAAATAAAATAAAAGGTAAATTAAAATTTATTCAAAAAACTAATATTTCACATTATTTAATGATATTACATAAATTAGAAGAAAATCGTTTAATAACATCACATTTGTAGAATTTGATTACAATCCTAATTTTATTTCTGATGCTATTTTACCTGATGTTGTTACACACTTATGAAACCAATAAAACTATCGTTCTTGTCGGATGTATTTCATACGTGATGGAATAGTAGATAGTTTAATAAAACATTAAAAAATATTTTATGTTAATTATTATTTATTTTATGATGTAATAGAAGTAATTAAATCTATAATATTTAAATTAAAAACCATCAATATTAATATATATTTTTAAATTATTTTATAATCTCAATTTAAAAAAAATATTAACCAAACATATTAAACTACTTTTTATTTAACCTTAATTTCAACCATATTTTTAATAAAATATATAAAAATACCAAACCAATCTCAACCAAAATTATTTTTTATACAATAAATTTTTTAAAACCACAATCACATTAACTATTAAAATATCAAATATATTTTAATTTAATTATTTTTATTAAAATAATAAATAATTTTTTTACAAGGAATTAACTTGGCTAAGCTTGAATTGAGTTTGATCAAATTTAATCAGAACGCTATAAACTAGGACGAGTTACTAAAAACTAAGTTAAGTGAGTTTGACCATGTTAATATTTAGCTGGATTTAACTAAAAATTCAGTTCAAATAAAATTTTATATCTCAAATTTATCAAGTTAACCCGCAATAATGACTGTCTTGATTCCGAGTTACTAAAAACTCCGAATAATCACTGAGCTTTTTTTCCCCATATATTTCTCCAATGGCATCTAGTGTTAGGATAGAATCAATGATTACTCAAAGACAACTATGAACAATTTAGAGTTGATACTTGAATTTAAATAGCACATTACCGAATTCAACTTATTAATTAAGCACTAAATTAGCAAGTTGTACTTGCATCTGCTTATAATAAGGCTAAGACATGTGGCTAGATCGGGTTGAGCATGCAGATGAGTGTATTATCGAAGTCAGTAACCTAGTTTCTGTTTTTAAACTTTCTTTTAAGAAATACTTACATATGGTTTTGGGAAGATGAATTAAGAACATGCCATGAACATCATCCTTACTTTTATTACCTCCCTCCATGAATCACACATGGTAGGTGGGTATAAAAAGCAGATCAGGGTCTACAGCTTGCCCCCTGAACTTTCACCATGGACGTTTAGGCTTTGCATCCATGTTTTGCAACTCAAAAATACACATGTAAAGTAATCATCATAAGATAAAAGGAAGATAATAAAGAAGAAATGTTTCAATTCAGGAATCCCATTTCAGTTCCTGATACCCTTAAAAGCAATGCCATATTCCCTTCTCTCTTCTATTTTTTCTTGCCATTAATTAGGGTATTTTTCTTCTGTTGCAACTTGCAGACATAAATCATTTAACTTCCTTCTTTCCTTTTCAGTCTAGGATTTTTTTTCTTTTCCTCGGGCTATATACGCAAATCTTTTCTCTGTTGCTTGGTCCTTGTGCATGCCTGTACAACATACTCTTGTTGGTTATGACTCTCTCTCCCTCTCACGTTTTAACACTCTGAAAATATTCATACTCATTTTTCGATTCACGGAGAGAAGGAGGTGGTTCGCAGTGATTGGTGATTTTCCATGGTAGAAGAGGACACATGATGATTGGTGGTTGGTGACTCTAGGTTTGCTTGAGGGAGAGAGGGGTGACTCTTGGGCTGCTGGCAGCACTACTGTCAAAGTGGGAGGCTGTATGACGCTGACGATATGGAAGCTGCCATGAGTTGCGACGAATGACGGTGTGATGGTTGGTGACAGTGGGAAAGAGGGAAAATTAGAAGAAAATGGGAGCAAATTCAACTTTTCCCTCGTTTTTGCTTGCACGAGTCTCTCTTATTTGTACATACTTCCCTTATATTTTTCTCTTCGTTTCTTCTCAAACCTTCCCTCATCTCCTCCTCATCTTTTTTTTTTAATTTACTTTTTCATCCTTATCACTTAATTTCTTGGGGAGGGGGCAAAGCTTTATGTTTATTTTTATCCATCTTTCCTTGCATGATTATTGTTTTATTCAATAATTTTTTTTTCTAAATATTTATCGATATAAAAACTACAAGCAAAATGATTGAAAATTATAAAATAATTGTTGTTTTTTGATTTCTTGAGAATGTGATCGAAATGGGATCAAAATCGAGTTACAGCACCTTTCTCAAACAAAATTTAAAACCAGGAACTTAATATTGATTCTCTTTTTTAATTCAAGCACTCATGTTGGATTTCCAAACCCATTATTCTAATGCTTGAAGAGTTCCAATCATTTCAAACTGCCATATAATTTATGAATTATATCATCATTTATCCTTATATTTGTACGTGTAATTTGTTATTGCTCTTCATTCTGCATTACCTGATTCACTCCTCAGATAGAGAGAACCAGTTTCTGCGAGAGAAGGGAGATTTAGCTATGCTGTGCAGGTGGTCATCTATAACCTGCAATTGTTTCATTCCATGGCCTCTGCTAGCTACTTCTCAAGGTGATCTAGCTAACTTTTAGGACGATAAAGCAAGGGTATTTGTGCCATACAAGAAATTATCTCATACAAAATGAAGGACATGAACAGTATCATTTCTAGTGGCCAAATACTTCGGGATTGGGATTACAAGCTTATGAGGTGAATCGACTCGAGACTAAAGAACTCGTTGAAAAAATGAAGGGGAAAAAACAAAAAAATGTAAAGAATAACACAGAAATGAACCTATATTATTTTCTGGTCCGGTTATTTAGACCCGAGCAAAAGGTGATGATTTTCCCGTTGAGGATATCTGGATAAATCTTCAGAAAAACTCATTCCTTCTGGTTACGATTATGTTCTGTTCCTCTAGCAGTTGATGCCACACTGCGCAACGTCTGGTCCAGTCACCTTGGTTGTAAAAGGGTCAACACGTACCCACAGTAAGGAGAAGATAGAAGCAAGGAGAACTGACCACACCACAACAATCGTAGGTGTTCGGTTTTGGCGTCCCATCAGACCCTTGAGGAAAGGATAAAGATGAATAATCACCCAGAAAGCAAAGAAAAGCTTGCCAAAGAGAGGACCCCAAGATTGATAACCACTGTTTATGGCGTAAGAGACTCCTGCAACCACTCCAACCAGATTGATTACGAGGAGAGTAGTTGGTGGGATAAGTAAAGTGGTCCATTTGAACATATATAGCTCGGTAAAATCACCATCTTCATCAGATGCTTTTG